AAAACTGCCCCGACGTCGTAGACGTTTATTATTTAAAGGATCACAACGCTTCACGTCATCGTGCACCCCTCGCTTCTTGGCAGTAGCCCGGGACGCCAGAGGGCCATGAGCCGAGCTCAAACTATGGCCCTGAGCTGCTGTGGCCGTAGACTCATCCGTGAGGTACCACGAGCTAGCGGGAGCGCGATGGGTGATTCGATGTCTTGCAGGGCTACCTTTCTATCATTTCAGTCATTATGAGTACTATGTTGTTTAACTTATGCAGCGGTTTCGCCAGAGGCGAGCACGACAGGAATAGTCGGCATTGCGCGTTCAGGAGCGCTTCTTTTATGAGCTCGAAGTCGAGCGCGGTGGCGATCCATTGGGATTTCTTGGGGTACCAAGAAGCGAGTTCGAAGACCTTCCCGCTGGTCAAGCTCAGGTTGTGTAGTGGCCGGGGCTCCGACTACGTAGACGCCTAACGATCAAGTGATCGCGTCTTTTGCTTCAGTAGTACTTTCGCCGACCGGAAACCGTATTATACTCGAGGATTTTGAACCGAACGTGGATACGAGCGCATCAGATCCACCCTATGAGTAGCCTTCAACTGTTGCTCCTATGCATTGTGGAGGCGATTGATAACAATACCACTCCCCCCGGAAGTCAAGAAGTCGGGGAACGGGCACGGTGTCCGCAAGGTTTGAGCAGGCCTCACGTCGCGCCGTTGGCGCTCCTCACCCTCCTCGTTTTCTCTTGCTAGGGAAGGAGTACCCGACTCGTAGTCGACTTTCTCCGAATCCTCGACGAGGAAATCCGTCCCCCGAGTCGGGTGCGGTGTGTGGCGCTTGGTTGCTGAGGGCTAGGGATATGCTTTCCGTCAAGCCGCATACGTAGTGTCCGGGGATGCACCACGTGCAGAAGAAAAATAAGACTCTACCCGCAGGCGCCTTCGGAACCAGCTAGGCTGGGTGTTGTTCTCCTTGTCATAGACACAAGGCTCATTGAGCGGAGAATTTTCAAGAATGTTCTAAAGGACGTAACGGTGTCTCAGACACGCGAGCCTCGTATGAGGCGACTGTTAAATGTGAACTGTGGGTAACACATTTTATGGGGGAGAGTGTAACGGGGTTATACGTACTTAAGTATGAAAGGGCGGGTTACAAAAGACAAAATGACTAACCTAGGTGTGGATTACACAAGTTGGTGTAAACACACAATGGTGTGGACAAGAAGCCACTACGTGGCAGAACTGCCAGTAGTGCTCTATATTTTTAAGTTTAGGAAAACCTAAAAATTTTGGTATTGGCGGCTCTGCCGCAGCTATAACTATAAAATACGATTTAATCTTAAACAGAAGAATTAATCCGCCTTGCTAAAAGTTTATAAATACTCTGTACAGAAGAATTTATTTGCCGTGGTAAAAGTTTTAAGTACTCTTGGTAGCGGATTGCGATCCGCTACACTCGTACTGGTCCTTGTAAAGAACGCAAGGTCAGGGACCTTAGCCTAGCTTCTTCTGAGCAAAGAGATACGACAACCCGGCTGCACACAAGCTGTCTACATAAAAGTGGGATTGCCTTGCTCATTGCGTAATATAGGCGTGGATGACTCCACGTAATTGTTACAAATGAGTTTTGGAATCGAAAAGCAATGGAATATCTTCGATCATCCCATCGCGCACCCTTTGAAGTCTACCGTACTCCCGCTCAGGGGTGCACAATCAGATTGGTGCTTGGGAACAAAAGGGAGCTCGGATATCGTGACGGTGCTTCGTTTTCGAAAGTGCATCCCGCTTATGTATGGCACTTAAAACAGAAAACGCGATTGGCTTACGTATGTTCACATCAATCACGTGAAAATCCTTCTCCTCTTTGGATCCAACCTTTGCTTGGATCGTTAAAGGTTAAAATAGTGAAGGTGTGACTCGTCTTAACACCGGCATATAGACCATGTGCAGGTAGAACTAATATTTTTTTTTAAAGTATAATATCCGAAAGTATTCGTCTTTAGTTGGCACCACCACGTTGCTCTTCATATTTTGGCTATCAGTAATAGCTTTCCACATTGCTCATTAAGCGTAGTTTAGTTTGTGAGTACAATTTTTGATTTCACTTTAGAGTACTGGCGGGATAATGCCAGCAAGACTATCGTATAACTGAGGCCACTGAAAGACATGTCAAGTGCAACTTATATTTAGTCAGTACGCTTACAACAACTGGTGTAGAGACGTGCACTGTGTTAGCGCGGATTCGATGGGTGCGAGTATGCCGCTTCTGCATCGCAATGGCTTCGCGCAAACAATTTGGAAATTGTCCTCCACTTTGCGATTAGCTCGTTCTATTTGATCATCAAGCAATTCGTCACCCACTGTAGACATAAACGGTCATTTTGTGGCCAGAACCACCAGACAAAGTCCACCATCAAGCAATTCGTCACCCACTGTAGACATTTTGTGGCCAGAACCACCAGACAAAGTTCACCAGAAGCTGCTCTAATCTGCTAGTCTCGATCCGAGACAGCTGCGTCAGCAAGTGATTTTGGTGTAAACTATCGAGAGACAGCACAGCTGTATACAATTCGGCACTGATCTTGCCAAAAGCAGAGTGATTAGCCGGTTTGTTCAACTCGTCTTCAATGACCACGTAATCAGTAATGCTAAGAGAGATTTGAGTACGACTTAAGATATATTTCATACAGATGAACTTATCGCACTCTATCAGAACTGGCAAAAAGATCTATTGGGCCGAGGCATGTGGCAAGCGCTTTACCCGTTGCATGTAATTCGTAGCCGACTAGACCACCGTTGCATTACCAGCAGAGCCTTGTACATTTCCCGATCAAGATGTCTCGAAACGGACCGCGAAAGGAAGTCTTCATCCAAGATTTTCATCATGAGATGCGACGACAAGTTGTCTGCCAAGGGGTTTCATGTAGAAATAAAGCGAGATTTGGAAATTCACTTACTCACAGAATTTTATATAAAAGATTCTGTATGGGGTTTCCATGTTTTCATGAATGATATAATAGCTCCTTACAATTTGTGTCTAACACGTAGTTTTGATGCGAGATGTTAATATTGAGACACTATATAACACATAATCCGGGCGGTTTGAAGGCGCGTTCATTACCACAACCCGATCAAGATTTCACTTTACTTTACTGCAAAGGTTCGAATAGATCTCGTTATCATCTGAAGAGATGTGAAGACAATGTCGCTAAGCGTATCTGTACAAATCACAATTAGATTTAAGTTGGGAAAGATCTAATCGAGTTTACAAGAGCTTACATAGTAAACAGACTGTTGTCATTAACCAGGCAGATCATCTCTACAGATTTGATTTGGCGATGTTCAGAAGAGCAACACGTTCATGCTTGTGCTATCAGCATGAAGGAATGTATTGAAACCAAGGCATCACAAACAATGTAACTGGTCGATTCGGATCAGACAGGGTAGTACAGGGGCACATTAGGCATCCCATGCATGCTGAAATCCCGCCTTCTAGTTGCACCCCAGCAATATTTTAACGAGGTTGAAATAGTGCCATCTTACGTCGGCACGTTCTCTACAATGCTTGTGAAAATAGTTGGCCAAGCTAAGTTGATTTGTTGACTCCCTCTGAAATGACACATAACTAACAAGTATGATCCATATCATTGTGATACCCAAGGGCCATGATTCTCATAAAATATCAAATCTCATCAACGCTAGAGCCACATTTATCAGCATTGATTGACAGCTTTTTAGGTTCGTACTCGCATGGTATCCATCCACTCCAAGGCATCCTTGTAACGAGGTAAACGCGGTACTTGAGCGTACTTACTTTATGCTTTCGGAACATTTACGCCAAATAAGTACCGTATAGTCATACAATTTTAAAACTACACTGTCGTAAACATTTTAAACTGTGATTATTCATAAAGTTTGGGTCTACTCAAAGGAGTCGTCCGTGGTACACACACACCGCCAGTCGCAGGAAAACAAAACCATTTTTATATTGAGATTGGCTAGATGAATGTATTTAGCTGTTGTCTGAAGACCAGAATTTCTGATAGCAGAGCAAAGTAGTCAGGTAATTATGATAAAGGTACTTGGTTCTGCTTCTATCCAGCGATAATGTAAGAGGCGCTATTCGCAACAGTCCCTCAAACGTTACACACGCGCTTATGCAATGAGGAAGCAATATCCAACGTAGAAAGAAAGGAGCGTTCCAACTTGCAGCAAAGATTACCGACTCGGAGCAAAGAATACCGAGTTGAGACCTGAAGAAAAATGAGTTAATTGTTTCCAGAACTTCAAGTTAAGCAGCACAATAAGTCCTCAAGGTTTTCCTGTTAAACCAAAAATACTGGGTTCCTTAAAACCTGATTTTTTCAATGAAGGAAGTACTGAGGTTGAATCTCACCGATCTTATACATGACCTTTGTTTAGGAGCTCGAATATCGAAAGCTTGATCTTCAACTTTGCGGAAGGTTCCCAGTAAAATGACCCCCCCCCTTCAAAAGAGTGAGACACGTCGGTCTCGTCACCAGTACAAAGTTCAAAAAAGCAACCAGCATTCTATACCACTAGGAATATTTGGGACTTCATAAATGATGCCACAAAACCATGTGAGGACACCATGCTGTAATCAATAGATACCCACAAAACACGCAGAAGAAACGTAGTTGTAGCTTCATGTAATAGCAAAGTGTATCCCATTACATTTCGGCCATACCTAGCGTAAATTATTTTATTGAAGTCAAGTCTAAAACCAAGCAGCGCTCTATACCGTTAATAATCAACACGTTTGAGTTGGACTGGAATCTGTGTTACCACATGAGATAGGGATTATTCTGATCCACAAATCAAAGAGCGAAATCTAGAGCGATCAAATTATCGGTTTTGGAATTATATCGTCTTGTATAAGTTGACTGCACATTAAGCTATTCAAATGAATGCGGAGTGAAATTCGCCATCGCAATAATGTTCAGTTTAGGTATTTCGCGACTATTGCTATGCACTATGTTTTTTAGTATATATCAAGTAAATTACATGTTTAATATAGCCCCAAAGCACGATGAAATGGTGATGTGTATTAATCACGAGTATGTTAGGTTGCATCAGTCGCATATGTGGTCCCAGTCAGTTTGCAGACGCATATCATGTCAGATCCTTATCATGACATTGCACAGTAAGACTTAATCTCCGAGGAGAGAAGACTTTCGAATGCAACATCCACGCATTACCAGAGTTTCTCTGTTTTGCAGACGCCTGAATTCTTTACATGACCTTCAAATTGAAGATGACATTATCACGGACATTATTTGTAACAAAGGCGAAAAATCATCAATTACCGTATCATGTGTGCCAGCAATTCAATTCATATTGATAGTGTACTTGTACAAACGTTTTGCGACAAATAATACCAAATAACGCCGACAAAACTATCGGACATGAATAAACCATCACCAAAAGGATGCAGTATTGGAACGAGTTGATGATATCGCGCACGTTAGCGGGATCATCGTCGGCAAGCTTGATTTTTAGCATTTCACCAAAACCAGCTGTGATATCAAACAATTTATTTAATCGGTCACATTTTGGAAATGTTTTCAAGCTTGAAATAGTACTATTTATATTTAGTTATAAAGTACGTTTTAACATGGGACAAAATATGGCCGCTGGAAAATATATGTATGACTGGGCTTGATTGCTGTCGTGCCATGGTAAAAATCAAACTTTCAATGACATATATATTGCATATACGAACGCTGAGTATGAGGGGTACTCTCTCTATCACATCAAGTGGCAAGGAACGAGGCCTTTTGTCCTCTCTTCGATCAAATCTCTCCCACAAATAATGTGCATCTGCAAGCACTGCGCTACTAATGATATCTCAGCTCCAAACCAATATTTGTTTTCTAATTAGCACTTTAAATGATAATGAAACTTTAGAGGAGAAAAAAGTGCTAGGATTCTACAAATGGCTGTACTCGACCCTAATGCAAATTTTGTTTAGACTGCTTACGTCATCATATGTGTTAAAAGGGGTCGCAATATGGAACTTTATACAAGGGGGTCTAGAGTATGTTTTTTCATACGTGACATCTTGTATGAATTCCCAAACATTCTGTGTGATACAAAAAGCCGATTGTTTTGGGATTTGTACTGGTGATGAGACCAACGTGTCTCTCTTTTTAAAAGTGGATGTCGTAAGCCGGTCACTTCCGCTGTGAACTTTCCACGAAGAATGAAGTGCAAACCAACGTTTGACCTCAGTACATCATAGATTGTATAGATCATTCTCTTAAAATTTTCGAAAGAAATTAAAGGCCTTGTAAATAAGACCTCTTGGAGCCCTTGAGGTGCTTTGCATGTAGCTATAGGGACCAGAAACTCATTCAATTCATTGGCAGATCCGAATTTAAGTTTCTAGGTCGCTCTTCTTCATTCCAAGATGGCACTGTCCTTTTCCTTTCACGTAACGAATCGCATACTCGTCGAACACGCGCGTTCGTATTGTTGGAGGGAATGTTGTGAACAGTGCTTTCGAACAGAATTCAGTTACTTTGTCCGCCGCTTATAAATTCATATGATTAAAACACCCCACAGCCGGTGAAAAAATCTCACAGACGGTAAAAATCTCATAGCCTGTGAATATCTCTATGCAAGCAATCAACGCGTTTGACTCTTAGGCCGTTAGTCAACTAACCACTCCGGAACAAACGGTAAATAGAAGCTTTCTCATCCTGTCTAGTCTTTCCTAGGACCGATACTTGAACATGCCATGCTTCATCCCACAGAGAAGAGAACGTTCATGCTTTCTTCGTGGGTTGATCACAAGCGGTTCGTAGCCCTTTTTGAACCCATGACATCAGACCTTCTTCTGGTGGCGCTTAGATTGTACTAGAATCTCCAAAGAAGTGCAGTACACGCAAAGATCTCTTGCATCTACCCTGATTCTTTTGAGGAATCTCTGAGGGCTACATTAATTACAAAGTACAATGTTCGTGCCGCGAGGGTCGGTTGGGATACGGAAGGCGAAAGATTTGCGATCCAGCGTGTACGCCATTGATGAAGAGCCTTATCCATGCCGGTAACAAAGAATGATTTTTCTGTCTTTCGAATAGGTTTGCGGTACCTTTGACGTTGCACATGTAAAGGTACTACTATCCGCACTCTGCGTTCCCCATCTTCCCACACCTGAGTGTTCAAGCAAAAGGCTTCCACGCAGTGATTCAACAAACCCGAGGTGAGGAAACATCCAGTCATAGAAGGTGCAGAGTGACCCATTGGAAAAAAATGATATTTTTTGTTTCTCTTGCATGTCGAGGTCAATGGGGCCAGCTTTAATAGAATCAACTTGCTCTGGTAGATAAAGGATTAGTGCTCAAAGTGGTTTCTGTTCAATTGACGTATAAGGTTTTAGCGTTTGATGTCGAAGCAGTAGATAGTTGGCGGGAGCAGTACTCTTCTGTTGTGACGGGAACACTGGTGAACGAATTTAATTTTCTTTTGAGCCTACTGGTGAAATTGAGAACTGTGACAGCATGTACATTTGTCTCGTTCTTGGCCTCAGATATAGAAATTGTCATTCTAGGCAAAGTGATACTGAGAACTGCGTTATCAGACATGGGTCGATTAGATGTCGAACAAATAATAGTCACGTACTTCTCTCTTTGTGGAGCATTGACGAATCCTTACTCCAACTCTAACGGGGAACAGGAGTGCTTTCGCCGCAATCATGAAGCTGTGGTAGGTTATCTGCATGGCACCAAATTTTTCAAACTGTCTGGTAATGATAGTGCTAAGTGCCCGGAGTAGATTGAAGCAACAGTTAGCCGCATTATCAGAATGTAACAAAAGATGCGATATTGGTTCGCGGTCTCCTATGTGTATCTCGGTTAGGA